GACTGAGACTGTGGGCTAAGGCAAGGAGAGGCTTGTAGATACAACAGGCCCTAAAACTCCTTGGGAAATGATTGTACAAATAATTCAGACCTGTTCTAAATCATGAGGGCCCACTCCTCTTTAAGACCTTTAAGAGAAGTGTTGCGCACTGCATAAAAGCATCAGCTTGCATATACCACAGCGGTTCCATAAGATTATAACAGAGCTGAAAAAGCTCCCGTAACCTGGTGACAACATCGTACTACAGTAAAATTTTAGCACATTGCATTACTTGCATATTTGTGCTAACACCAGTGCCAGGCATTCGAGAGTGTAACACATACAACTACTGTTCTGTTTTGCTTCAAGATTTATTTGTTTTTATTGGAAATGCAGATCAGATTTACAGAGAGGAGAGACAGAAAGATCTTCCATCTGCTGATTCACTCCACAAGTGGGCACAATGGTCAAAGCTGAGCCGATCAGAAGCCAGAGCTTCTTCCAGACTCCCACATGCAGGTGCAAGGTCCCAGGGCTTCGAGCCATGCTCCACTGTTTCCCCAGAGCGCTGGATGAGAAGTGGAGCAACACTATATGGGATCCTAGCACTAGCAAAGTGACGATTAGCCATTAAGCCATCAAGCGGGGTCCTATACAAGTATTGTGGAAAGCTCTCAACAGAGAGGCTCTCAACAGGAAAACCAGCTTTATTCTTCATGTCGGCAGACACTGAGGAGAGATCTTTCTGCAAAGTCTAGGCCCTAGGCAAAGCATGCCATTTCCTTCTTTACTTCAATACAGATGACTTTTAGTTTCATAATATGTACTCAGCGAACACTACTCCCACAGTTTGTCACCTCTGCACAGACTGGATTCCAAGTGATTGATCTGGTACATTTGCAGTATTTCTTGGCAGTGCATGGCAACCCCTAAGTGCATTTTCACATTTCTTTGAAAGCTTCCTCTGACCCATTTTTCCAGGAAAGTGTTGGTTTACAAGCATTTTCATTCATCCTTTTTTGTTTTGAAGAGAAGTGGGGTCTCCTGAAAGTCCCACTGAACTATGCGTGGCAGAGTGCTGGAGAAAAACATACAACTGTGTTCCTGGTTTGTGTATTTACTCGAATTTTATTTTTAGGCTTTCATTTATTTGAAATGTAGAATGACAGAGATAATCTTCCACCTGCTGGTTCACTCCACAAAGCACCAGACAGCAGAGGCCGATCCAACTGCAGCCAGGAGCCAAGAACTCTGTGCTCGTCACCCATGTGGGTGGCACGAAGCCAGGCACTCGGGGCCACCTGCTGCTGCTTTCCCAGGCACATAAGTGTAGAGCTGGAACAGAAGTGGAGCAGCAGAAACCTGAAGCAGCGCTCAGATAGTTTGCCAGCACCGTGAGCAGTGACTTACTGTTCCCATCCAGCAGGACAGTCAATGGGGTCGCAGACAACCTAGGAGAGAATGGGGGACAAGAGACACAGAAATAGACAGCAAGACAGTATGTCTGATCAAGCTGACCAAATTTTATTTTTCACACACAAGCCTTTATACTCTGCAAAACAGGATCTATGGGTGAGGGGAAAGAGGAAGTAGGTTCTGGGGTATGGTTTCACAACCCTTTCTTGGTAGCTATTTCTAAAGCCCCTTATGCTCGCAACAGGATGCTGGCAGGTAGGGCATAAGCCAACATCCTGTTGTGAGCACCAATGGCGGTTAGAGCAGGGTGGGTTGCTAGGTGACCTGAAAACCGCAGGATGTCCCAAGACTTGGTTCCTCTTGAACCTGGCTAGCTGGTATTTTTCCACTGACCTAGATCTATATTCAAAATGGCTTCAGTATGGCTATAGTATATGGCTTCCAACAATTTACCTGCTGCCCCATAATGTTGGCACCCTAAATTTAAAAAGTCATGGAGTCAGGCCTGGCGACGTGGCCTACTGGCTTAAGTCCTTGCCTTGAATGTGCTGATATCCCATACGGGTGCCAGTTCTAATCCCAGCAGTTTCACTTCCTATCCAACTAGCTCCCTGCTTGTGGCCTGGGAAGGCAGTCGAGAACGGCCCAGGGCCTTGGGACCCTGTACCCGTGTGGGAGACCTGGAAGAAGTTCCTGGCTGCTGGTTTCGGATTGGCGCAGCACCGGCCGTTGCAGTCACTTGGAGAGTGAATCATCAGACAGAAGATCTTCCTGTCTCTCCTCATTTCTGTATATCTGACTTTGTAAGGAAAGATAAAATAAATCTTTAAAAAAATAAAAAGTCATGGAGTGTGCTGCTTCTGTGTAGCAAAAATCAGCAGTAGCCCTGTCCCTGTTTACAGCACCTCTTGACTGCATCAAGGGGACCTGCCATGTGATTCACCTTGACTATTTAGGTCTGCACCAGTGCATTCTGCGACAGGCTAACTGAAATGCAACTGGTTAATGTCTCATTCCTCAGAACAAATCCCCATTATTACACAACACATGGTTACAACTGGCTAGAAACAACCAGAGCTTTTGTTATCTTACTTTGTGATAGAGTTTATTTTGTTAAGATTTATTTATTTTTATTGCAAAGCCAGATATACAGAGAGGAGGAGACACAGAGAGGAAGATCTTCCTTCTGTTGATTCACTCCCCAAGTGACCGCAACAGCTGGAGCTGCACCAATCTGAAGCCAGGAGCAAGGAGCTTTCTCTGGGTCTCTCATGCGGTTGCAGGGTCCCAAGGCTTTGGGCCGTCCTCGACTGCTTTCCCAGGCCACAAGCAAGGAGCTGGATGGGAAGTGGAGCCACCAGGATTAGAACTCAGCTTAACCAACATGCAGTTCAGAGGAAATGTGTCATTAGATTCTTCACTGGGTGAACATCAGTAAGTGTACTGACATGCACATGGCACCCATATGGAATCCTGATGTGTGCAAGGCAAGGACTTTAGCCACTAGGCTATTGCACCTGGCCTTGTTTGTTTATTTTTAGGAAGGAAGATAAACATCTGTACCAACTTCTTTGGCAATGTGCAAGTGCACAGGAATCCAAAACACCAAACATCTTCACAGAGTAGAGCAGCAACATTGACTTTCTGGTCTTGAAGAATTCAGAGGTCAATCGGAAGACCACGGGGCAGCTGTGCAGCACTCAGTGGGCAGGAAAGCCTGGCAAGTCCTGCCCTTGTCTTCACTGTCAAGGTCTTCTCAGGACTACTCAGCTGCCAGAGCAGCAAGGATTCTTCCAGAAGATCATCTCTGTGTTCATAAGTTCATGAAGAGCCCCCTACCACTACTAGTCCACATATTCTCTATTTTAAGATTGGTTCATTTTTATTGGAAAGGCAGATTTACAGAGAGACTCTCCACCTGCTAGTTCACTCCCCAAAATGGCTGTAAGAGCTGGAGTTGAGCCGATCTGCAGCCAGGAGCCTGGAGCATCTTTCTAGGTATTCCACATGGGTGCAGGATCCAAGGTCTTGAGCCATCCTCCACTTCCTTCCCAGGTCATAAGTGCAGAGTTGGATCACAAGTGGAGCAGCCTGGACCCAAGCCTGGACCTGTAAGGGATGCTGGTGCTTGCAGGTGGAGGATTCCTGTTACACCACTGGTGCTAGCGTTCAGTATATTCTCTTTAAAACAGATATATTTAATTCTTCTTAAGAAGAGAGTGAACGACAGAGAGGGGGAGCAAGAGAAAGGGATAACTTTCCCTTGCCCCTTCACTCCCAACTGGCCTCAGTGGCAGGGGCTGGTCCAGGCTGACACTGGGAGCCTGGAGCTCCATCCACGCCTCCCACAGTGGGTGGCAGGGCCTAAGTTCTTGGGCCATCCTGCACTGCTTTACCAAGCACATGAGCAGGGAGCTGGATGGGAAGCAGAGATCTGAATCAAGCTCTAGGTTCCTAGTTTCAGCCCGGTCCAGTTCCAGCAGCTGGGGAATGAATCACCAGATGAAGTCATCTCTGTCTCACTCTCTCTCTCTACCCCCTCTGCAACCCTGTCTTTCAAATTTAAACTGTAAATCTTACCCATTTTTCCCCATTATCTCTTTTTTCAAAATGATTGTGCTTTTTACCCGCATGATGCATTTTTGTACATCTAGAGGACTATTACCTCTTGGATCTGTTCATCTGACAGCTGTTACTTTTTCAGACTCTCATCACAAGATTCCTTTCTGGTCTGTAGTCTCTGCCGGGGACTTCATAATCCCACAACAGCTTGAGTTATCTTTCAAAATCTTTTCTTTCCCGTGAATGTCCTGTCCTGGCTTCAAAGCCATGTGGGACTCCGCCTGCCATCCTCCAGACAGAGCCTAAGCTTTCACACACTGACCATCACGCCCACATCTCCAGACCAGGAAGGGGCACATGGGAAAGCTGCCCAGGGACCAAATCCAGTCCACCACTTGGTTTTCTACAGCCCACCACGTCACTCCTCGTCACCACTGTTGCCTGCTAGGGTCTGATAGCTGGGAGCTGCAACCAGAGCCAGGGCTAGGCATCAAACCCAGACATTCCAATCAGGGCTAGTGGGCATGTCAACCATTAGGCTGTATGCCCACCCCGTGGCTCATTGCACTGACATGTTCAGTACCTTTAAGCAAGCCCATGAAAGCCTAAGATGCATACTAACTAGAACTTTACGGAAAACTAGACAAGCTCTGTTCTCCACTCATGTTTCATAGCTTGCCAGGGAGGCCACCCCAAATGACTTAGTGTCCCTGACAGCCCACCCTTCCTCTCTGACTTGTCCTCCCCAACACCAGGGGTGCGCCCCAGGAACTACCCCCAGCTTAGTATCTAACAGTAATTCTCATTGCATTTTCACCTGTCTAGTGCATTGAACATTGCAGCCTCCCTACACACACTGTGAAATACAGTAAGAACGGTAAATACAAACACCAGTAACACGATCACTCCTCATGAGCAAGCATCACGCGCTGAGCATACACGGAGACAACAGCATCGACTCAAGCACTGGGCAGCACACAGCTCTGCTGCTGCGTGGACCACGGGAGGCGTTCGTTCGGGAAGAGGCAAAACTTGGATTCCAGCTTCCAAGGAGCGCACAAAGAGAATCTACAGCGAACTAAAGAAGAGAGAAACAGCACTGAAAAGCAGCAGGCGCTCCGCGGCAGAACAAAGAGCGAATTCCCTGGACTTGATCCTTACGAATGTGGCCCTCTGCTGGAACAAAGCACGGCTCAGAGTGCGCTTCACACGGAGCGCTGAAATCCTCTAAAATGCTCCGTCTAACGTTGGTAAAGCCCACGGGGTGTCCGGCGTGCGTTCAGGACATCTCGTCCAGCGCGTCGTCCGTTCTGCTTTGCTAGCAGGAAGCTCCGGACTCGCACTGTGCTGCAAGGAGCCGGGAAGGGGGAACCTTCGCTAAGAACTACAACTCCCGGCATGCTTCGCCCCGGCTTAGGGCTTCTCTACATTTTATCACCCCTGGCCCCTCCGCACCCTCGCTCAGCGGCTCCTCCCACGCAGGGCCCTCCGCTTTCTCCTTTTAGTCCCGGACGGAGCCACGCCCCGGTCACCGGAAGGCTGCATGACGTCGTGAGGGCTACGCGTCGCACAGGAGGCGGTAGTTGGCGGACGGTTTCTGGCTGGGTGGCGGATACCCCAGGAACGCGGAAGAGGCTCCCGGGACCGCGGCGATGGTCGACTCGACGTCCGACTCGCTGCTAGTCAGTCGGCTCTCGGAACTGTGAGTCGGTGCCAAGGCGCCGCCCAGTCGTGTCCCCTTCCCCGCCCCTTTCCCGCCGCCGATCTGAGAAAGCCCTGCTGGTGCTTCTGCTCCTGGGCTCCCGATGTGTCGCCCCCTCCCCAGGGACAGCTGTCGAGCTGGGCTGCAGGGTGGGCTGGCTCCGGGTCCCCCTGTCCCGCGCTCCCCGACCAGAGTCCCGCTTCCTCAGCCGGCCTTGACAGCTGTCACCGCCTTGATGGGAACAGTCCACATCTGTGGGGCTCCCCAAAGCCTGTCCCCGAATTCCTCCCAGGAACCGTGACCAGGAGGAGCACTGGGAGGCAGAGTGGTTAAGAACTGGAACCCAAGTCGGGCTGCTGGCTTCAGCCCCGGCTCTGCCCTCGCCTGTTCTTGCATTGTTTGTGCATCTGCTGGGGTAACCTCACGAACCTGTCTCCAGGAGCGCCCTGAGCCTTGAACACGTGTAGAGTCCTTGGAAGGATGCTGTGCATAGGATAAACACACCACCCCACCCCCCCCACACGTGCTAGTTGTTGATGTTATTAAACACCAGGAAAAAATTTTTTACTGCAAGTTGCTGTCTGCGTGAGCTTTATGTTCATTCATGATCATGCAAAAATAGTGAACTCTATGCTAAGGAGAACAGCTTCGCTATGTTGCAAGCTTCTAAGACAGTGGGGTTTGGACCTGTTGGATTATTTCTCCTAAACTCTTGGCCCTTCGTCCATGGACTTGCAAGAGAAATCAATTCGTTGTGTAGGGTGAGACTAGTGTTGTGTCTGGCTTTCCTTTGTCTTGTCTGTAAGTGAGGACCAGTGATAATGTTACCTACCCTCTAGAAATGTTGCAAAGATGGAAAGCCAGTGTGAGCCAAGCATCTCTTACTTTGCACAGGGGTGACGCTCACATGTGTTACTCATGATTTTATCCACCTACTCGGGCAAACAGAGCCAAGGGGTGTGCTACCTGAATCCCAATACCCATCCTTCTAAGGCTCACTTTAATTCCTGTCTCTTAATTTCTCATGCCTGAGGCTCCAAAAGAGTTGCTCGCCAATGATTCTTAGAACTCCTGTGGCCAGAATTGGGTCTTTTGTCTCCGTATGTAGTTTCAAGAGTTGCTCACTAGCGGTTAAGCATACATTCAGAGAGCATACGTGGCAGATGAAGCATGATACTGGACATTACAGAAAATAGCTGGTGGGGAGGAGGTGCTGGCACAAGAGGGTCTGGAAGTAGATACGTTATAGATAGAAGAACAGCAGAAAAAGGGAATGTTAACAGTGTGTTTGAAATTTCTGATGAGGAAAAGCAGCGTTTCACAGGAGCGTTTGTTGAAGGAATTTAATATGATATTGGTAGTAGCAGCTGGCCATTGCAGGTGCGGGGACCTGTCAACGTTTGGAAGTATGCTGGGAGCAGAGGAAAACTTGAATTATGTAGAAACACATCTAAGAAGCAGTGGGATAAAAGCAAAGTGCTAGGGTTGACACTGCGGCACAGTGGGTTAAGTTGCTGCTTGTGGTAAGGCATCTGATTATGAAACATCAGATGGGGTCCCTGATGCTCTGCTTCCAGTCCAGCTCCCTGCTAATGCACCTGTGAAAGCGACAAAAGATGGCCCAAGTCCTTGGCTCTGGGCTGCAAGATCTGGCTTGGTTTGGGCATGACTCAACCCTGACCATAGGAGTCATTTGGGGAATGAAACAGCAGACAGAAGATCTCTTTCTTTCTCTGTCACTTTCACATAAATACAAAATGATGGTTTTTTTTTTTTTTCAAGTAAGTGAAGTCCTGGGGACAGCATTCTGGTGTAGCAGGTCAGGCTGCCACCTGTGATGCTGGCAGCCTTGTGGGTTGTGGTTCGAAGCTTGCCTCCTGTATTTCTGACCCAGCCCCTTGCTTGGACACCTGAGAGGGCATTCATGTACATCCATGTGGGAGATGCCGAAGAAGCTCCAGGTCCCTGCCTTCATCCTGGCACAGTCCCTGCCTTTGCAGCCATGTGGGGAGTGAACCAGCTAATGAAAGATATTTCTCTCTTTGCCCATCTCTCCCTCTTGTCAGCCTTTTAAATAAATAAAAGTAAATCTTAAAATATAAAGTCCTGTTAGGCAGTGTACTTAGAAGAAATGTGAGCAAACCAGAAAGGTCGTATTCCAGGTTGACTGGAGGATTCCATACAAATGGCGGAGTAGTGACACAAAGCCTGGGAACTAGAAGCGCCAGCTTGAAGCATTCACTTTTACAGCAGCGGGGACCTCTCCAAGGTTTGGAATTGTGCTGGGAGCAGAGAGCAACAGGAATTAGGTAAAGCTGTGAATAGGAGGACTGCTGGCACATTCTGGGAAGAGATCTGAGAAGCCCAAACATTTATGTGTGAAATGCTCTTTGCAGGTTAATTTCTGGGGATAAGGAGCTGTAGTCTCTATCGCTGGGAGAGGAATTGGCATCTTAGGCAGCTGTTAGAAAAGTGCAGTGCATATATAAATTAGACCTGTGGATGGCACTTGATAACACTGCTCGGTGCAAAGAGGAAATAGAATGACATCTGTCAAGAAGATTCTGTGAAGCAAAAAGCAGGAAGGTGACCATGTTGCCTACGTTGCTGTGCCAGCATGTGGTTTTTCCGCGGACCAACTTTTGCAGCCCTTTTAACAAAGAACACATTTGAGATTGGCAACTGTTCAGCTAGCTGTGTTCCATTTGTGCCATATAAGGAACCTGAGCCAGAATGGCAGGCAACTGTCAGTGAGGACTCTGGTCCAGCTGCAAGGCCTCCCTCCATGGAGGATGCTGCTTGCCATCTATCCCTGTTTTCTTACCTCACTGACAGCTCTCTGAAGAGGGCTGACCTTTGGATCTGAATCAGGTACACATTTGTTGTTGGGAAGATTTATGTGTTTTTCTAAAACAGATACCTTCTGTCTGGTGGTTCAGTCCCCAGATGGCCACAGCTGCTCCAGCTGGGCCAGTCCACAAGCCAGGGGTTTGGAGCTTCTTCCAGGGCTCCCTTATGAGTGCAGGGGCCCAAATTCTTCTTTCCAAGGCATGTTGGATTGGAAATGGAGCAGCCAGGATTAAAATGCTGGGGCTATAGTCAGCAGTTTTACCTACTCTGCCACAACCCTAACCCCACAAACAATTTTGAATAGAGACCCAGTAAAGAGAAGCATCAGAAATTAAAGACTTCAACTTTGTTAGCCAGAAGCAAGGTGAATAGGTAATTATAGAGGAAGAGCATCGAATGGAGAAATTCACATGGCTGGTTTGACTGCTGTTTGTAATCACAGGTGGAGACCCTTCACCGTCCCCCCAACTTGAGAACAGCACTCGATACCAGATCTCAAGGGGCTTCCATGTCTCCAAATCTGATCACAAAATTCATGTCCTTCGGCTTCTGAGAAACTGTTTCTCAGCACCCAGTTGTTGTTACTGAATGTCAAATCTGAGATTTAAGTTGCTCTTAACCTCTGATACACTGATAGTTTAGAATGTTACTTTGTTTCATGGTGCTAGCAGAAGGTCCAGGATTCCAGGTTTGAGGAAAGCTTGTCACAGTGCAGCAAGCAGCTGAAGCTTTAGCTTAGTTCTCAGCTCTTCTTTTACTGCCTATCCAAGAATGATAGAAAAGGCTCAGGGGAATGGCTCCTATGCTTTGGGTACCTTTTAGGAGAGGAACACTAACGTTGGGGAATACACTGGTTTTGTTTTTGTGTTTGTTTTTGTTTTTTGTAAATTGTTTATTTGAAACCGGAGTGGATGGGTCATAGGAAGACATGTAGACACAGACATCTTCCCGGATGTCCAAAACAAGCAGGGGTGGGCCAGGCTGAATCCTGAAGTTCCACAAGGCTCTCTCACACAGGGAGCTGGGTCCAAGCACTGGGTTGCTGACCATGCCCCCCAAACATATTAGCAGGAATTTAGATAGGAAGTGGAGGATCTGGAAATCAAACCAGGCACTCTAATATAGGATATGGGCATCCCACGTGGTAATGAAACCCTCTGTGCCACAGCACTTGCCCTGGAAATACACTGGTTTTTTTAGCAAGTAGTAAGCAATCTTACCTTTTGTGCAAGAGTAAGAAGGCAATAGCTGTCTGTTGGAATGGTTTGCGGGAAATAAGTCCCATCTGAGAGATGATCTAAATAAAGAGCATTGCTGGCATACCTCGAATGATGCACGGATATGCCGAAGATCTAACTGACCACCAGCCATAAGCTGAAAAACTACCTCACTTCAATTTTTAAGACATTTTAAACATTTTATGGTTTCCTTTTTAATACATGGATGTAGCAAACGTGTATACACTCTACTCCTTATCAAAAAAGTCTGGACTCTATTGGGATAAAAGGACTTTAAAATAAGCAAACTTAAAACAATCAATTAATTTGGAAGGAACAGTATATATTTGAAATCAAAGGAGTATTTATTAACGGGTTCCAAATGTTTGGTAAATGGATGAAAATATTGATGATATGATATTGAAAAATAATAGCGTGAGGAGTTCCATTGAAATGATCATATCATTTAGAAATTAGAAAACAAAAACAATGCTTGAATGACACTGGAACATCTCCTAATTGCATGCAGTAAGTGAAGAAACATTTATTGAAGAAAATGTATTAACACTTAAAATAGCTTGCAGCATTCCCTCCACACTTGCTGCATCCCTCCACCACCTGCCCCCCAGCTCAGCTGGATGAGAAGCTCCACTCTGAGAGTTGGGCAAGAGAATGAGATGACCTTTCTCAGTACCTTCCAGCCAAGGGAATCTAAAAATGTAATGGGAATGGCGAGCTGCCAGCATGGCTCATCACTCCTGCCAATCCAACTACTTGTGCTGCATTGCAAGTAGGTGTGGCCAGGATGTGCAAGGATTGTTTCCACCAAGCCTGCTTTCATGAGGCTGAAGCTCTGTCTCAGCATGACTCGGTAAGACTACTGGTGTCCCAGTCTCCCTTACCCAGGCCCATTCATGTGGCAGGATTTCCATCCCAGAAGAAATGAGCCAAAGCCAGAGACCACCAGACAGCCCGGGTGTCACTCAAACAGGAACGTACTCAACGTGCGTCATCCCAACTTCAAAATTGTGTCTCGAAATTTTCTCCCTACTGGCATAGCAGGCCACAAGACAAAAGTTCTAAAGCTCTCCACCAAGAAACTGACTCTTTGAGACAGAATGAGTACAAGTCTAAGAGTTCTCTCAAAAACAATCAATGCTTTGGTGGCAAGCAGAGAGGCACAGCTAAACCACAGTCCATCTGGTTTACCAAGGGAAACAGGAAAAGAGACAACTGAGAAGAACACACTCACCCTTAGAACACAGCTCAAACCCCAGCAGAGGCGCCCAGGCAGAATGGGATATGATTGTGGAGCAGTTGGTACCCATGTCTTGTTGGAAATACTGGAGTGAGCAGTTTGCAGTGAGTGGCAGCTAACAGGTGCATGTGACACCCATAAAGGCTTAGTAGTAATCCAAGGAGATACTGTAAGAGAATACTACTGAAACCGCCGCCATCCTAGAATTATAGTGTACAAGACTATGCACCTGGAATGGTAAGATAAGAAAGGCACTTCAGTAAAATAATTCAGCCACATCAATAAAAAGCCTAAATAAATAAGCAGTAACCTATTCTATGGAAAACCAATACTGAGAGTTACTATATCCTATTTTCCGAATGATCCAGTTTTCTACCCCAAAAATTTACAAGATAAGCAAGGGGGGGGGAGTGTGATCCAAATGAAGAATAGGTAGCAGGCAATAGAAACTGGCTCTGGGAGCCAGTGTGGTGGTGGGGCAGGCTAATCCTTCACCTGCAGTGCCAGCACCAGTTCATGTCTTGGCTGCTTCACTTCTCATCCAGCTCTCTGCTAAAGCCTGGGATGGTAGAGGAGGGTGGTTCAAGTCCTTGGACATCTACCTCTGCGTGGGTGACCCAGAGGAAGCTCTTGGCTCCTGGCTTCAGATTTTCTCAGCTCAGGCTGTTGTGCCATTTAGCCAGTAAGTGGAAGACTTCTCTGTATCTTTCCTTCTTTCTGTAAACATCTGCCTTTCAAGTAAAAATAAATACATTTTTTTAAAAAGAAGAAGAAAAAGAAAAATCCTTGAGAGGGCTCAAATGTTGGTCTTAACAAAGCCTTAAAAGTAGCTATTATAAATGTGTTCAAAGAACTAAAGGAAGCTATACTTAAGTAAGAGAGAAAACAGTTGGCAGTTCACAAAGGTAAACCTGAGTATATTCCCAACAAAACATAAGCTGAGGACTCAGAAAAACACTCGCACGTGGATGTTCACAGCAGTACTAGTTATGCTAACCACAGGAGTCAGCTATTGAGTCACTACACAGAGTGATGTGTGTCTATGTACTAGAATATTAGTCATAAAGAGGAGCAGCATATTGGGGTTGGCATGGTGGCACTGCAGGGTTAATACTCCACCCTCATATGGTGCTGGTATCACATATTTTTTTTTAATTTTTAAGATTTATTTATTTTTATTGGAAAGTGAGATTTGCAGAGAGAGCAGAGACAGTTCGGTACAGTGGTTCCCTCCTCAAGTAGCTGCAATGGCCAGAGATGAACCAATCTGAAGCCAGGAGCCAGTGGCCTCTTCTGGGTCTCCCACGTGGGTACAGGGTCCCAAAGCTGTGAGCTGTCCTCTACTGTTTTCTCAGGCCACAAGCAGGGAGCTGGATGGGAAGGTGTGCAGCTAGGATATGGACCAGCGCACACATGGGATCCTGGTGTGTGCAAGGCAAGGACATTCACCAATAGGCTACCATGCTAAGCCCATGGTATCACATATGGGCACCAGTGGCTTCCTACAGTGATGGGAATAGGACTGGGAAAGGAGATAGAAAGTGGAAAGAAGTGGATGGGAAAATTAATAAAATGAGCAATAATGGCTAATTGCTAAAGAAATATGTAGGAGCAGGAACCCCTCCCCCAAACCTGCTAGTAGAAACGAGAAGTATTACAGAGTTTCTGGAAAAGTCTGCCAACACACATTAGAGGTAATGCCCATCAGAAAGAACGTGACATCATCAGCCATCCACACTGGTTCACTCCACAGGCGTGTGGCTGTGTCAGGCTGAAGCCAGAGTTGTCAGACTCCCAGGGGTCTCCCAGGCAGGTGACAGGCACTCATGAACTTGAACCTTTCCAGATATATGTCTGCAGGAAGCTGGACTAAGGGGTTGGAGCTAGAGTCTTGATCCCAGGCATTCCTTAATGGGAGGGGACATCCCCCGCAGTGTCCCTTGCACTGTGCCAAGTGACTGCTAACAAACGCATTAAGCAAGTGTTCAAAGTCAGTCCAGTAAATATAATTTGACTCTGTTGTGTTTGTATTTCAGAAGCCTTAGGTGTTTCGCAGAGAATATTTCCAGCTATATGACAGACGTTAAGCCTTTGCCTCCCAACATAAAAGACAGACTGATTCACATGATGAGCCTGCGAGGGAAGATAACAGATTCAAATATAAGTGAGGTAAGAGTATGCATAGCTATAAAGCAAGGATGTTCTATTATTTAGAAATGAGCTCAGATTTTTGTAACATATATATCATAGGATTAGTAATCATTTAATGTACAATAAAGTATGAGTTATTTTTTAAATTATTTCCAAGTAATGACAATATTCATACATAGTTTAAAAAAATTTTTGTCACTATTTCTTCAGTTATTTCTCTGGTCTTCAGGGTACCAGCACCTTTGATCTTCACATTTTCAAAAAATTTAAAATATTTTGGTAAAAACTAAGATTTTTAAAAGGTTTAAAAACAAGACTGACACTAAGGAATGTATGTTACACCATGACTCCAGGACAGAAACCAGACCTGATGAAGTACACATCAGTATTTTCTATTTTTTTTGTTCTGTTTTGTCTCCTTTAATATAAAACATTTTTAGGGGACCAACACAATGGCTTAACTGGCTAATCTTCCACCTCCAAGCGCCGGCCAACATCCCATGTGGGCGCCAATCTCATCCAGCTCCCTGCTTGTTGTCTGGGAAAGTAGTGGAGGATAGCTCAAAGCCTTGGGACGCTGTACCCACATGGGAGACCTTCCTGGCTTCAAATCAGTTCAGCTCCAGCCATTGTGGCCATTTAGGGAGGGAACCAGCAGATGGAAGATCTTTCTCTCTGTCTTCTCTCTCTAAATCTGCCTTTCCAATAAAAATATATAATTTTTTTTTAAAAAAGATTTATTTTTTTATTATTTTTTCATTGGAAAGGCGGATATACAGAGAGGAGAGACAGAGAGGAAGATCTTCCATCCGATGATTCACTCCCCAAGTGAGCGCAACGGGTCGATACTACGCCGATCCAAAGCCAGGAGCCTCTTCCGGGTCTCCCACGTGGGTGCAGGTTCCCAAAGCTTTGGGCCGTCTTCGACTGCTTTCCCAGGCCACAGGCAGGGAGCTGGAAGGGAAGCGGGGCTGCCGGGATTAGAACCGGCGCCCATATGGGATCCCGGGCGTGCAAGGTGAGGACCTTTAACCACTTGCGCCACCGCGCCGGGCCCTATAATTTTTTTTAAAAAAAAAAAAAAGCTATCTAATTTCCAGTAATGAAAAAAAAAGGGGGCGGAGGTGGTCTGATTTGACTCAGGGTACAGAACAGGAGTTTGTTGTTTTCTTTTTTTAAGGTTTATTTATTTTTATTGGAAAGGCAGATCGGATTAGTGGAAAAAAGGTAAGACAAAGAGAAAGATCTTCCCTCCACTGGTACATTCCCCAGTGGCTGCAACAGCCCAAGCTGAGCTGATCCAGAGCCTCTTCTGGGTGCAGAGTCCCAGGGCTTTGGGCCATCCTCGACTGTTTTCTGAGACCACAAGTAGGGAGCTGGAAGGAAATGGAACAGCTGTGATATGAACCAGTACCAATATGGTTTATGCAAGGTGGGGACGTTAGCTAACATGAAGTGCCCATATTAATATCTTAATTTTAAAACTTATTTGAAAGGCAGAGAGATAGAGACAGATAAATCTTCTCTGCACTGATTTTCCTTTCAGATACCACGGCAGCCAACGTTTGGCCACACTGAAGCCAGGAGCTAGGAATTGATTGCAGATTTCCCATATGTGTAGAAAAGATGTAAGTGCTCGAGCGTCCTCTGCTCCCCTCCAGCGTTAGCAGGAAGCTGGAGTTACACATGGGTGGCTCAAGCAGATTCTGAACTGCTCGATCAACCTATCACCCCCATGATTTATTTTAAAGTATTGCAATTAGGACCTTTTCTTTGCTTAATAGTAAATAGGAGAACAAACAATGATACATATACTAGAGAGTTTACCAGCTGGAGATACTAGAATTGAATTTTGTACCATCTTCAAAAAGATGTTGAAGACCTAAGCTCTGGACCCTCAACGCGTGGCCTTATTTTGTAACAGGAGTGATGAGTTCATATGGAGTAGTGTGGGTCTCTACTCAACATCACCAGTGTCCTCGTGCAAAGACGGCTGGGAGAAGGCACAGAACTGCAGGGAGTCTGTGAAGGAGCAGTAATGCCTGTACACATTAAGGAGTGCCAGGGGTTGTCGGCCACGATCAGAGGAAAAGAGAGAGGTGGATAGATTTCTCCACAGAGCCAACACTTTGATTTCAGATTCCTAGTCTACATAACCATGAGAGAATGAATTACCTTTGCTTTCAAAATGTATTTATTTAGGACCCAGTGTGGTGGCCTAGCAGCTAAAGTTCTCACCTTGAACATGCCTGGATCCCCTATGGGTGCTGGTTCTAATCCTGGCAGCCCCACTTCCCATCCAGCTCCCTGCTTGTGGCCTGGAAAAGCAGTCGAGGACGGCCCAAAACCTTGGGACCCTGCACCCGCATGGGAGACCTGCAAGAGGATCCTGGCTCCTGGCTTTGGATTGGCTCAGCTTCAGCCGTTGCGTTCACTTGGGAAGTGAGTCATCGGATGGAAGATCCTCCTCTCTGTCTCTCCCCTTCTCTGTATATCTGTCTTTCCAACAAAAATAAATGAATCCTTTTTTAAAATAGATTTTAAAATTTGATGCAGAGAAATTTTAAATACATACATGCAAATGGAAAAGGGTAGTTATCCACTGCTGCTTTGGTTTTGAACTTCTTGGTCAAGGGGTCGTGTCTTTGCACCAGGCATCAACAATGCTTCTTGTCCCAGGAACGATTTCACGGGCACTGAAGGCTGCCCCTCCAGCTTGAGGTAGCTTTGGTTTCTCCTGCCCTGCCCATGTATCTTCATATGAATGTATTTCTATCGTTTTTGCTCTGTTTTTCATCATCCTTCATCTGTTATGATTCCTGTACATTGACTGTGGGAAATATCTCAAAGAGTAATTGATTTATTTGAAGGGCAGAGTGACATATACAAATAGAAAATGCTTTCTTCTATCTGCTGTTTCACTTCCCAAGTTCCTGTAACAGTAGACTAAACCCAGGGGTCCAGAACTCCATCCTGGTCTCCCACATGGGCAGCATGACCCCACGTCTTGGGCCATCATCTGCTGCTTCCCCAGCGTGTTAGCAGGTTACTGGTTCAGAAGCTTGGAGTAGCCCAGGACTCAGGTCTCAAACCAGGTACTCAGATATGGGCAACCCTGGGAGCGGCTTATCTGCTGTGCCTTACAACCGCCCCTAATGGATGTTTATATTTAGAGAAATAATATATTAGAATTATGTGTTTGTTACAGATGTTACATCCAGAAGTTCAAAGTCTAGATCTACGAAGCTGTGATGTTTCTGATACCACTCTCCTGCACCTGTGTAGCTGCCAAAAACTGAAGACGTTAAAATTACGGAACTCAAAAGGAAACCGTGTCTCCATCACATCAGTAGGTGTGTTTATTAACACTGAATGAATTGGTAGGCTGCTGTTCACCACCTATTATAATTTTAGGGAAGATATGTCAAAAAGCATATAAATATGTTATAAAGTGTTGAGGTCTTTCAGTATTTCCTGAGCTGTAGCCACCCTGAACTTGACCAAGGCCTAAATTTCAGGTTTATAGCTTTTATCTGAGAAGCTCCAAGGCAGACCGCTTCCCTATGTAGGCATGCCATGTTCCATTAGAGACACCGAAGGCCTTTGTTCCTCTGGAAGAATACATCAGTGAATGGTTACAAGGGTGCTTGATCTTGGGGTTGCGATATGGCTACTAGACAGCCTGGCATTGAGGCTATGAGTGAATGGTTAAGGGTCTGAGAAATGAAACAATAAACCAATGTGTAAACATAAGATTGTTCTTATAGTCGGGTCATGATGTATGAGATTCCTCTTGCGTAAATTCATGACACCTTTGAGGTAGGAGATTGTTGTCTGATTTCCCCCACATCAGCAGTAATCATGAACCAAGCCTGGTGGCTTAGTCCTGTAGCTGATCAATGCACTTGAGACAGTGGGTAGCCTGGGCTCTTGTGCCTCTGAGCCTGCAGCTCCCGAGGCCCCGCTGTCTTCATCTTCTCATCTTGTCCTAGCGTGTTTTCAGCACCCACCTCAGCCTGTCTATGCACGCTGAACACTGACTCACCAACAGTGAAGTTCATCAATGAAATATTCAGACCAAGAAAAAAAAGCCCCAGAAGTCAATTTCTGATTTATAACTTTGTTAAAAGTTAAAATATATCAGATGGGCCCTGCATGATGGCTCAGTGGCTAAATCCTCACCTTGCAAGTGCTGGGATCCCTGATTGGTGGTTGCTAAAATAAAAATCGGATGCATTTCTTACACTGATCCCTAATCACACTTTCTCCTAGGAGTGAAAGCTGTGGCTTCGGCCTGCCCATCCTTGCATGTGGTTTCTATGCAAAGATGCCACGGGCTCACTGACGAAGGAGTAGTGGCCCTTGCCCTCAACTGCCGGGAGCTGAGGTTCGTCGACCTGAGTGGCTGCCTGTGCATTACTGATGTCTCCTTACACGCACTAGGAAACAACTGCCCATTTTTACAGTTCGTTGACTTCTCAGCCACCCAGGTAAATAATTATGACTTAAAACAGACTCTCTGTGTGTGTTCCGTGGATTTCCATGACTAATCAGAAGGACACAATTAATTATTTTGTTAATGTTCAAATTCTTTATCACTTCATGTTTTAAGCCATTTTAGGTAATTGCAATATGACTGTTGCCAAGTTGAAGCTTGTCTGTCCTTGGCATACAGAAAAAACCTATTACACAAAGGTGTTAAAGCAGAGAAATTGAGTTGCTTACAAAACGCAGATAAACTAAGAAGATGGTGGGTGGGTGCCTGTGTTCTAGAGAAACCATCTTCCCTGTTCTTGAAACAAATCAGTTTTTAGTACATGTGGCAGAAAATGGTGAGGAGGCAAGATGAAGGGGTAATGACATGCTTTAAAAATCTGGTGCGGGCCCAGCGCGGTGGTGCAAGTGGTTAAGGTCCTCGCCTTGCACGCCCGGGATCCCATATGGGCGCCGGTTCTATCCCGGCAGCCCCACTTCCCTTCCAGCTCCCTGCCTGTGGCCCAGGAAAGCAGTGGAGGACGGCCCAAAGCTTTGGGACCCTGCACCCACATGGGAGACCCAGAAGAGGCTCCTGGCTTCGGATCGGCATAGCATCGGCCATTGTGCTCACTTGGGGAGTGAATCATCAGGCGGAAGATCTTCCTCTCTGTCTTTCCTCTCTGTATATCCGCCTTTCCAATAAAAAAATAATAAAAATAAATCTTTAAAAAAAAATCTGGTGCCAACACCGCCCCCCAAAACTGTTCTGCGTCTCAGCTGTTGACATATGCCTTGTTAAAGTTATAAGCCAGTTTGGACTAGCCTAAAATTCGCCAAGTTCAGTAAAAATAATGCTTCAGTACTATAAACTGCTAAATACTAAAATGAAAATAGACACAAGACAGCTGAATAGTACCCTATAGCCATTTTAAGGTGTATAGCAGGCGGTTGTATATGAACTAAAATTGAAATGTCAATGAAGTAGTCACAGGATGTGGTTAAGAACTTGCATTTTCTAACATATTGGTCAGTCAATACCATGTCAGTTAACTCCATAATGTTGTAAATTGTTGTGGACATTTATGTTGTGGCTTTTCATTGGTTGGGATGATATTCTGCCAGCTCTGCTTTCAAACCAGGAATGGTATCCCTAAGAAACTGTTGAATTTATCTGGACAATAAGATGCTGGACTGTATGCATGGTACATGCTTGCAATGAAGGAATCATGACTGGATTTGAACTGTAATACTGCAATAAGGTGGAGGAACCCACCATGGGGGGAGGGCATGGGGAGGAGTTGGGGGAATCCCAGAGACTATGAAATTGTGTCATAAAATAAAATGAAAAATTCTTATATATATATATATATACTTATATATATATTACATATATATATATATATGTAATAAATCTGGTGCCAGCAAGAGTCCACAAAGGGTCATGAAAGTTTTTGTCGTTGGGTAGTCAACTTTGCAGACAAGCTGCTGCTCCACATCTTTGACAAAATGCTCCTTATTTCTGTACACACCTCCTTATCGGGGGAGGCAGGCTGCAGATAAGAACCTATTTGCAGAAAGCACAGGCTGGAAGCAGAATTCCTCTGATGACTGCCATGTGTACATGCAGGCATGAGCAGGAATGTCAAGTGGCCAGCGACACAGACTCACTCTGAAGGTAAATTGGCTTTTTCGCCCCATCTCACACTTTGGCATACTCCTGTCAGTTGTTTTAAATGACAAGGGTAGAAGGTGTGTGTAGCCAAAAGACATGCTTGCAGAATGAGAAGCAATGAAATTACATCTAAGTGGTAGTAAAGTTGGGGAAATCCCACTTGTATTGTCTCCTGTGTGTAAGCTGCGTCTCTCTTCTTTGCTTAGGTATCTGACAGAGGTGTGGTTGCGCTTGTTAGTGGACCTTGTGCCAACAAATTAGAGGTAACTTTTATTAATCACCTAAAGGTGATTAGGTTTTACATTATCCTCAGGCATTATTTTTTAAAACTAGTAGACAACTAATGTTTTATCCATTAGGTATTTCTCAGACTTTTATTTGTTTCCACCTCTTTATTCCCAGGGTAAAGAAAAGGTGCTAAGGTAAGGAAATAAATGTGGGTTAAAATGGAAACTTGGTTTTTCTCCCAAAGTTGTTCATTTCCCAGGAGCTGCCGTTTCTGACGGGTCTGTGGGTTGTCTCACTGTGGAGGAAGATTGTTAGTTTTCCCTTAGGCTGTCCTGCCTCACCTGTTCCTACCTTGCAGCTAACTCACCAGCCTGCTTTTCCTGAGAGCCATTAACAAGCTCTTAAACCATTTAACAAGCTCATAAATCAATGGCTAACATGACACCTGCTATCCCAGGGTTTTTGTGGTTTTAATGCGGTGGTGGTGGTGGTGCTTTATTTATCTATTTTTAAATAAAGTTGTGCTTTTATGCAGCAAGGCCTTGTCAACTCCTTGGAAGGATGCAGTCTATAAGTGAATTACACATGTTAATAATAGTAGCTTTTGTAATAGAATAGCAATGCATGTTTTGGGCCAAAATTCTCCTTGAATAATTACCTAAAGAGATTATTTTTGTATGTGTTATTTGTGTGTATGAATCTTGCTTATCATGCTAGCATATATATATACACATGTATTTTAAGAAATCTTTTCATGAAGTTTTAGGGATCTGCTTGGTAGTGCAACAGGCTAATCCTCCGCCTTCCTGCACTGACATCCCATATGGGTATCAGTTTGAGTCCCAGCTGCACTACTTCCAATCCAGTTCCCTGCTTATTGGCTTGGGAAAGCAGAAGAAAATGGCCCACTTGGAGACCTGCACCCACACGGGAGACCTGGAAGAAGCTAGTGAGGCCCAGCTAGGGATGGGCCCAACTGCAGCCGTTGCTGCTGTTTGGAGAGTAAACCCACAGATGAAGATCTCTGTCTCTCCTTCTCTGTCTGTAACTCTAAACTTTGCAGGTTAAATAAGTGTAAAGAAAGTTTCATAGGGATGGGCATTCAACGCAGCAGTTCAGATGCTGCTTGGTTGGCCTATGTGCTGTGTTAGTAGCGGGGTCTGGATCCGCATTCTGTTGCTGGTTCCACTTTGCACTGACGTAACCCTGCATGGCCGTGGTGTTATCCCAGCATTGGATCCTTGCCAATCGCCCGAGAGCCCCAGCTTGAGTTCCTGACTCCTGGCATTAGCCTGGCAAACCTCCCATTTTCCTTGTTGGCAAGTGGACCAGCGAGTCCAAGATCTGTCTCTTTGTCTCTGTCTGCCTTTCAAGTAGATAAAAATTATTAGGAAAAAAAAAGGCTACATCCTATTACTCTCATACCAAGCCTGAATTCCAAGTTAATTTTAAGGCAGAAGGAAATAATATTTACTATTTTAAATGCCAGCATTGCTTGAGCAGTTAACGTATGCCAGGCTTCATATTAACTGCATTGTATTCGTTAGTTAGTTGTGTGTGTTTTTTTAATTTTCATGCAAAAGAAGTCATTACAGAGAGAAGGAAAGACAGAGAGGGAGCTACTCCATCCATCAGCTGAGTCACTCCCCAAAGGTCATAATGCCCAGAGCTGGGCCAGTCTGAAGCCAGGAACCTCTTGTGGGTCTCCCGTGTGGGCACAGAGATCCATGTACCTGGACCATCTTCCATGGCTATTCGCATTCCCATTAGCCAGGAGCTGAATTGGAAGTGGAGCAACAGGGACTCAAACCGACCCCCCTATGGAATGCCAGTGCTATAGGCAGAGGTTTAGCATGCTCCACCACTGCACTGGCCCTCCTTCAGTTAATTCCTATACTGACGTGTCATACAATTCATAATTTTAAATAAAGTTATCAAACAGTTAACTTAGTTTATCATTTTCTAATAAAGCCATCAGGAAATTAGTTGCTATGCAATGGTAGGAAATAGCTCATATTTATCTCAGCATTGTAAAGTTGGGAACACCAACCTAAGCAAACTTAGGAAAAACACCCCAACTGATAAGTGTGGACATCATTGAACTCTACATTGTTTTATAAGGCATTTAACTTTGAAATCTGCTTAGACTTACGTTGGTCTGTTCTGTGTGGTTTTCCTTAAAAAGCAGACATTTGATGCTTTATGTCATCAGAACGTTTCCTAGATCATTCCATACTGTTGTAATATATCCACTTCTTCCTTTTGCTGTTTCCAAACAGGAGATTAACATGGGACATTGTGTGAATGTGACAGATGAGGCCGTGGAAGCTGTCGTCCTGTCCTGCTCTCGGATACGGATCCTGCTCTTCCAGGAGTGCCCCCAGTTAACAGGTCAGTCGGACTGCTGCGGCACATCTCAGCTGCCTCTGGGAAGAAGGGACCACACTGGGCTTGGAGGAGTGGCTTCCAGACTCGTGACCCTGAACTAGCTGCCTAGGACCACAGCACCCCAGGATAGCCACTAAAATATGTAAATGCATCCTCTAAATTCTGAGTGCATTTCATGCTCCAAAGGATTTGCTTTAACCTGCATTTACCCCACCTTGTCCTGGGAGTGGCTCCCCCACACTGTTGCCTTTGAAAGCGCTCACGCAGGGAAGGACTTCTGCATGGGACCCCAATCAAGTTTGTTGTGTCATATTGCCACCTGGTGGTCATGTATTTTTCCTTACTCTTCTGAAATCCCTCACATTAACTAGTTACATGGAATGGCATTCTAGAAGACTGCATAGGTGCAGCATAAGTCAAAAAATGTTTGTACATCCAAAAAAAAGGTCATGAAGCGGACATCCCACCATAGTAAGTGTGAATTTGTTGAAATCTCTGAAAAATACTATGGCTAATGAACTTGTTTAAATTCGTCTATGCCAAATTTCCCACATCTTAATATACAAAACACTCTTCTGACTGACCCATTCACCTCCTTCATAATTTTATTTTATCGTATGCTATTTTTCTGGTTCCTGGTTTCACATACAGGAAAACGAGGTGCTGAAATGTTTGTCAGATGTGCCACAAGCCTAAAAATTAAAATCTCAAGTCACGGTAACCTAAGCCCTGATCTCTGGCCCTGCTGTCTATCTGGAACTGCAGATAAATCACTCAACCTTGTGGGGGCTCACTGTCCACGGTGTGCAGTCAGTCTGGGGGAGGGGGACTCATTGTCCACAGTGTGAGGGGACTCACTGTCCACAGTGTGCAGTCAGCCTGGGGGGGGAGCTCACTGTCCATGGTGTGCATTCAGCCTGGGGGGGGGGCTCACTGTCCATGGTGTGCATTCAGCCTGGGGGGAGGGGGCTCACTGTCCGCCGAGTGCAGTCAGCCTGGGGGAGGGGGGCTCACTGTCCCGGTGTGCAGTCAGCCTGGGAGGGGGCTCACTGTCCCGGTGTGCAGTCGGCCTTAAGGGGTGGGGGTTCAGTGTCCATGATGTACAGTCCACCTCGGGGAAGGGGCAGACTCACTGTCCGAGGTGTGCAGTCAGCCTGGGAGGGGGGGCTCACTGTCCGAGGTATGCAGTCAGCCTGGGGAAGGGGCAGACTCACTGTCCGAGGTGTGCAGTCAGCTTTCATGAAAGGCGGAGACCTAGTAGTAATGTCAGAGCTCTGCACGCTGACTTTAATGAAGATTCTTGAGATGAGAAAAAGCTCAAGTTTTTTATTAAAAAAAATTCTGTCGATCATCTGCATACTTTCTCCTTCCCCATGAGTTCTGCAACTATATCTCCATTATTTGTTTGTTTGTTTGTTTTACCATCATTAGATGAAAATAAAGTGGGCTGTGCCCAGTGCAGTGGCCTAGCAGCTAAAGTCCTAGTCTTGCACGTGCTGGGATCCCATATGGGCACTTGTTCTAGTATCGGCAGCCCCACTTCCCATCCATTGCTTGTGGCCTGGGAAAGCAGTTGAGGATGGCCCAAAGCCTTGGGTCCCTCCACTCACGTATGAGACCCAGAAGAGGCTTCTGGCTCCTGGCTTCGGATTGACTCAGCTCTGGCCGTTGCGGCCGCTTGGGGATTGAATCATTGGATGGAAGATCTTCCTCTCTGTCTCTTATCTATATATCTGCCTTCCCAATAAAAATAAAATCAGCTGCAACGTTCACCAGCTCATACAAGGCCAAATGGAAGGCCAGACTGCAATGGCATGTATGAGAACTGGGTCTGGGAGTGGATCAAGTGGAGGAACTAGGGAAACTCCCCTGGCGAGTCATAGCTCCCACTGGTGAACATGTGGTCCAGACCTTGAGGTCGGACAAGCTGGGCAAAGTAGCTCTAATGGCTGGCTAATGTGTGAATTGGTAATGGAACGGGGTTCACCGGGCAGGACTGAGCAAACCTTAGCCCACAAGCAAAACTAGAAACCAGGATGGAGCACAGGTCAAGCCGAGCTAGGCTCTTGAACCTACTGGTCTGCATGTGTCAGGGACTCTAGTCACAGTGTCTAAGGCAGAGGCTGGGATAGGTGAGGGGCTGAGCCAAGCTGAGTTAGAGCAACCACTGGCATGCGCATGATCTATGGCTGGGAACAGGCCTGGTTAGAAGGTAAGGGGACACCCTGACTGGGTTGAGGTTCCCACCAAGGGGTGTGTGGGCTGGAATGGGGGCTGCGTTCTGATCAGGAAACGGTTGTAGTCTCCACTGGCACAAGTGTGGACTGGGACTGGATGCAACAAGCCGGGCCAGACTCCAATACTGTCTGGTGTCCTGGAGGACCAAGGTAGATGTGGGACAGACTAGGTAAGGTCTCAACCCCTACTGAGCCATGTGTGAGCCATATATGGGTATGGACAAACCATGGCTGGGCTGAAACATCCAAAAGCAAGAACCAGTTTGGGTTGAAGGCCAGTTAGGAAAAGCCACTGTTCCTGCTAGGACAGGAGGTGAACTGAGTAGGGCTGGTTCATGGACCCCCTGGTATGCGCGAAATCTGGCACTGGGAGAGGTTCTGAGGGAAGAGCCTGGGCAACTCCTCTGGCAGGACACAGACCCGGCAGGTAAGCACAAGAAGCATGATAGGAAACAGCCCAGAACAGGCCAGGGAAAGTTTCCCACTGGCTACATTTGGCATGGATTGGGGGCAGACCAGGCTGAATCAGTTCACATCATCCACTGCAAATCCGAGCATCAGAACAGAGTGTGGGTTGAGCCAGGTTCGGTCACGACAGAAACCAGTGCACAATACGGAATGCCAAGGTGAAGTTGCCCAACCAGCACACGTGAGAACTAGGAAGGGAGGGGGCGGAGCCAGCAGGGGGAATACGGGGTTGATTCTTCTTTTTTTTTTCTTCTTTTTTTTTTTTATTACAAAGTCAGATATAAAAAGAGGAGGAGAGACAGAGAGGACGATCCTCCATCTGTTGATTCACTCCCCAAGTGACCACAATGGCTAGAGCTGCGCCAATCCGAATCCAGGAACCAGGAACCTCTTCTGGGTCTCCCACATGGGTTCAGGGTCCCAAGGCTTTGGGCCATCCTTGACTGCTTTCCCAGGCCACAAGCAGGGAGCTGGGTGGGAAGTGGAGGAGCCGGGATTATAACTGGCACCCATATGGGATCCCGGCGTGTTCAAGGAGAGGACTTTAGCCACTAGGCCACCACGCCAGACCCATTGTTTTGATTTTTAAGACATTCAAAGTACACTTAGCAAAAGAGAAATATGAAAACCATTACCCTGCCTTGTGAAAAACAGCATCTAAATTTATGTCTAGTAACAGACTAACTAAACCCAAATGCCTTCAGCTGATGGAAGGATATTCGAAGACTGGCCAATAGACCACATTTTTTTTTCTTCTTTTTCCTCACAATACATTTCATTTATTTTTGATGATGTTTATGTCGTTGAGAAGGATGCACACCCATGTGAACCACTGATTAGTTTGGGAAGGGTCTAGGAATGGCAGAAAGTGGATGTGACAGCTGCTTCCAATCTTCCTTTTTCTTCTTCCTGTTTCTGGGAGAAGAGGAGAGAGGAGGAGAGGGCCGCTCCCAGCAGCCACTCAGACAGGAGAGACAGAGAGGAAGATCTTCCATCCGATGATTCACTCCCCAAGTGAGCGCAACAGGCGATACTATGCCAATACAAAGCCAGGAGACTCTTCCGGGTCTCCCACGCGGGTGCAGGGTCCCAAAGCTTTGGGCCGTCCTCAACTGCTTTCCCGGGCCACAGGCAGGGAGCTGGAAGGGAAGTGGGGCTGCCGGGATAGAACCGGTGCCCATATGGGATCCCGAGCGTGCAAGGCGAGGACCTTAACCACTTGCGCCACCGCGCCGGGCCCAATAAATAAATTTTTTTTAAAAATGTTTCAAATAACTAGATGAGGTACAACAGTTGTCATCAATCCCAGTTTACACATGAGGAAACATTAAGTGTCTGGCTACTGGGAATTAACATCTGTCCTTATTTCCTTTGTAGAACGCTCACAGGACGCCGTGGAGCTGTCACTACGCCTAAGCAAACTGAAGCAGGTGGCATGGACCGCATACTGAGGGTTCTGGAGACCGTCAGTGCTCCGGAGGCTGACCAACACTACTCACCCAGAAAACTCTGTACAGAGCTTGTTTCCACCTAATTTAACACCACTCTTACTGTGCTGTCTCCTTTCAGCTAGAACTCAGAAACTCAGCTGAATGGAAGCATGCGCAGGTTTGCGTTTTGAAGTTAACCAGCCCGTTAAACACTTAATACTGCTGTTACTCTTTATCCATTTGATGAGTCATTGTTTTTCAAATGTAATTCCACCATGAACTCATTATCTGTTGGGGGAGGGGGCAGGGCATACATTTTGTTTCTTACATATCAAGATCATAAATTATTTGTTTTCCCTTGAGATTTCCTTCTCCTATGCAGGTGTTGAAATTTATTGACATTGCATAAACTATAGGAAAATTCCAAGTAAAGCATGTGTTAACGCATACCTTCCTAGCTGTTTTTGGCTTTTTGCCTTCTTGAAATAGTTAAATGTCCAGTTGCCAAAAGCAGAACTGAACACTAACATTTCTTAGTTGTTCATAGTATTTATATGTCTCTCTGTTTCACTGAAATAGTTAAATGTCGTACCTTAATCATGTTTATATTCATAACACCCTTGCCCAGCTCCTTGTGGCATTCATTTTTATATTGACTACATTCTTTTTTAAATATATTTATTTTTATTTCAAGGCAGATTTTATAGAGAGATAAGGAGAGACAGAAAGATCTTCCCTCTGCTGGTTCACTGCCCAAATGGCCACAATGGCCAGAGCAAAGCCCGTCTGAAGCCAGACACCAGGAGCTTCCTCCATGAGTGTGCCCAAGGACTTGAATCATTCATTGCTTTCCTGGGCAAACAGGGAGCTGAATCAGACATCTAGACATGATGTCAGCTTGTGTGTGTGTGAGACACAGAGAAACGGGTAAGACCTGTTCTATTTATGAGATTGTCTAAAGACAAGTTAGTGAAATTCAACATTTAACTTTTAGTGATGTCAATAGCTTCTTCCATTTTTTGCAAAAACTGTTTTCAAAATATGATATATAAACATTGTAGGGTTTATAAAGGATTTATCTTCCTAAACTGGTTTGCATTTAAAACAAATCTTAATTTATTTACTTGAGAAGGGAGGAGGTAGGAAAGAGAAAGAGAGAGACAGCAAGCTCTCCCATTAACTATTTCAATTTCCAAATGCCTCCAGTGGTCAGAGCTGAGCCAGGCCTGGGGCCACGAACAAGGTCCACGTCTCCCAAGTGGGCACAGGAGGCCAGTTACTTGAGCCATCATGGCTGCCTTGCGGAGTCCACATTAGCAGGCACAAAACCTAGGCTGTCATAACCCCTTGGCTAAATGCCCACCGCTACAGTTTATACCTTGATTTTCTTCCTTTTTTATGGTGCTGGCTGATTAGCTATTTTACTTCCGAACATTTATGGAAAATGGAATTAAAAGCTAATCTTACCATACTGCAAAATACTTTTAAATATATGATTGTTTTCACAGTGTGGATTTTCCACGAGCTTCCTGAGTAGCTGTCATATGTGCACATCCCATCTCGGGAGCCTCTTGATGCCATTCGTGTCAGTCCCGCCCCCACCCCCATTTTAGTTCCACTCTCATGCGGCTGTGTTTTTCTCCTCTGCCAACCATCTGATGTGTTTAATGTTTCATTTGTTCTTAATCTGTCTCCCCGCCCTAGAATACAAACTCCATGAGGACATTGCTGTGTCTTCAGTACCTAGAACAGTGCCTGTTAATAAATACTGAAATATTTGTTGAATGCATGAGCAAAGAAAGAAATACAGGAAAAAAGGAATATATACAATACCCACACATCCAATATCCAGTGTGACTTATATCTTTCAGTATAAAGAGACTGGAAATTACCACTCGTATGTGCACAAGAAAAAACTAAATACACTGAAAAATCAACACCACTTCTTAGATTCATTAGAGAATCGCGGTCAGAGGGGAAAAATCAACATTGGAAAATCAGGTGAACACAAAAAATTGCAGCTCATCAGGAATGGAGCCATGCTGGCTAGACCCTGCTTCTGGAGCCAGGAGCAGGAGGACGCTCGGAGTAGAAATCAGTGGCAGATGGCCCCAGAACTTGTGTCCCTGCCACCCACATGGGAGACCCAGATGGAGTTCCAGACTTCTGATTTTGTCCAGGTCAGCTCTAGCCATTGCAGCCATTTGCGAAGTGAACTAGTGGATGGAAAATTCTAATTTTCTCTCTTTCTCTCTCCCTCCTTCTCTCTCTCTCTCTCATTCTATTGTCAAATAAAGAAATCTTTTAAAAAAGAAATGCCAAGATCCTCTGCAGCTTCAACTCTAAAAATCCCATCTAATTATTGCTATTTTGCCATCTATGAAACATTTTGCACTAACTGCTTTTTCTAACCTTTCTGCCGTATAACTCTTGGCCAGTTGCCTGAGTACCTTAATCCCAGTGGCAGTACATATTACCAGAGTGCATATAATGCAAGTCTGACACGTAGTTCCAAAGCAGTGTATGGGAACAGGAAAGTACGTCAGAAAGGTTGCACCGGGCACCTCACTTGTAACACATACAGCAGTGCTGTTCAGTATTCTCTTAGAGAAGTGGAAATATAGCACAAGATTCCAAGACTTACATACCAGGATTGTCTCCTGCCCTAGTCCACAAGCCATTTGGCTCCCTCTCAAAAAGGGCAGCCATTGCTACCAGTCCGTCACTTATCTTTCCAGAAAATACATACATGTATATTCACGTTTTACACGATTAGTGTTATGCACATTTTTTTCATTTCATGAATATGTGAGAATTTTCATGTGTTTTCATTTATGTTAACAGTGTTTTTAGGTAAATTTCTGACCATATGGGACATGAAGTGATGGCATGGCAAGTTTCTAGCTAACCTTGGTAACCCATACAGTTTTCATAAGTAGGGTGTAGGAAATTCTAAGTATTTCTCCAAGATTATAAATTGAGACCTTCCTGGGCACTAAATACTGTGTTAGGCATCTTACATTTGAATTTTAATACAGTAACCCTTTGAGATGAGGTTTACTGAGTTTTATTATTACTTCATAGATTAACATTGTTCTAAGTTAAAACTTAGAGAAACCTTAACTAGCCCAGGAATCCCGCTAGAAAGTAGTAAGGATGCCTGGCTCGCAAGGTCGTTGTGAGGGGTTGAATCGGATTTGGCTCCCCAATTTCATGAAGACTTCATGTTTTGTTATTGATGGTTATTTTTATCTTAGTCTGCTTGAAAGGCAGAGCAAGTAAGAAACAGAACTTCCATCTGCTGATCCACTCCCCAAATACCAATAACAACCAAAGCTGGGACCAAAACAAAACCCTGTGTCTCCCATGTGGGTTCAAGCACTTAAGCTCCCATCTGCTCCAGAGGGGACGTTAGTAGGAAGCTAGATCAGAAGTACTCAATCCAGCACTTCAGTACGGGATGCAGACAGCTCGAGCGGCATCCTAACCCACAGTGTCATGATGTCTACCTACTCAAGTCTGCTGTTAGTGATCAGTGGAGTGAGAGTGGTGTCTAAGAGCTCTGCCTAGTGGAATGTTTGTGTAACACTGAGGATGTACCCTCAGAGGGTAGTCTTGAGAGAGGGTGGCTTGGGAGCCAGCACTGTGGTACGGCGGGCCAAGCTGCACCACCTGGAACACCAGCATCCCCTCTCAGAGTGCCTGGATTCTCAACTTCCAATGTCACTCCCTGCTAATCATCTTTAACAGCAGCAGAAGATGGCACTTGACCCATACCACTTGGAGATATAAACCAGGCAGGCCCCAGCGTCTCTCTGCTGCCTGGCTTACCTCCATGCCAGCCTGCATGGCCAGCCTCCAGCAGACGCCAGGATCAGGAGCCACCTTCCACTTGCAAACCTTGAACTATAAGCCAGAACATAACTTGCACTACCCAAGAAGTTCCTCTTGGGTATTTTAGTTAAGGAAACAAAAAATAAACGCACTCCTGGACTCTGTACCCTACAGGCTGCCTCTTTGCTCCTTATAGATGACTTTTGGTTAATGGAGTGCTTTGCAGCAGGCGTTGTGGCACAGAGGTTAAGCCTGGCCTCTTAGGATACGTAGTTGCAGTTCTAGTCCCTGCTGTTCTGCCTCTGGTCCAGCCTCCTGCTTTTGTGCCCGAGAGGCAGTGAATGATGGCTCATCCAGAGGAACCTGGATGAATTCTTGGTTCTTTGCTTTGATCTGGCCCAGCCCCAGCTGTTGTTACCATGTGGGTGTACAGCTGTGGATGGGGGATGTCTCTACATTTGCCACTCTGCCTTTCAAGCAATTGTTTTAAAATGAATTACAGAGGCAAATATGGTGGTGTTCCAGGTAAAGCTGGCACCAAAGATGGTTTTGGTTCGAGTCTTGGTTGCTCCATTTCCAGTCCAGTTCACTGCTCATGGCCTGAGAGAACCAGTGGAAGATGGCCCCAATGCTTGGGAGAACAAAGAAAACTCCTGTCTTCTGGTTTCAGCCTGGCCCAGCCCTGGCCACTGCAGCTGGGCAGGAAGTGAACCAGTGCATAAAAGAGCTCTCTCTCTCTCTCTCTCTTTCTCACACACACTCCCACACACACACACACACACACTCACACATACACACACACTTTCTCTGTTTGCCCCTCCCTTTCTCTCTGCAACTCTTGCTTGAAAATGTTTAGAAATAAAATACAGTATTTTATATTTTCTATTTTGCTTAAAGATACATCATATCTGACCTCAACTATACAAGTTCTGTCACAGTATGTGATTCCTCTCCATGAGTTTAAATCACACCTGACCATTCTTGGGGACTGCCTTCCATAGTTACAGTCCTAAAGTGACAAAGCTGGAAAGTACACAGAGTTCAACGAGGATGCATAGATACATAGAACAAGTTCATCACAAAGGCTGACGAGGCTTTAAATCTTCATGTTTTGGAATCAGCAACTACCATTGAACAAGACTGAAAGATTTATGTCCTTTATGCTGGAGGACATCTTCCGTGGAGAAAACCTTGATGAGTAAGTGCAAACATGACCATATTCGTGCTGGGAAGCCCTTTGACAACTCAAGGCTGGAAATCCCACACTGTGCTTGTGGTCAGCCCGTTGTTTTCCTGCCTAGTGTATTCTGGCAGGGAGTATTCCACAAGCTTGTGCAGTTGTTGCTGAATGCCATGGACACTGAACTGGGGCCGCCCAGGGTCACCAATTAGCACACGCGTTCTGTGGGTCCGAGAACAATGCTTCAGCCACTGGTGCAGACGGTCTGCAAGGCTTGCGTCATAGAACATGTCTCCAAGAACTACCAGGTCCCACTGAGCTGGTTCCACATTCAGAATGTCTTCAGTTAAAATGGGAACAGGATCCAGTTGGTTCAATTCACAATTCAGTGTAATGGCCACTCCTGCAACTTTAAAACAGGCAGAATGAATTGGAATTAATTGGTATGAATTGGCATGTGCTAGGCTGTTTTAATTTCACACCTATCCTGACAATATGGGATTTTTGTTCCTTTTTCCATTGAAAGTTTTTTTAGAGGTAAAGGAAACCTAATATTTATACCATCATAAGCCACATTCTGCAGCTTCCAAGTATATAACTGGATATCCTCAAACAAAACAAAACAATACAAAATACCTAGAAATCCTGAGATTTTAGGAAAATGTGCTAATCTCAGCAGATACACAAGCTTTGGGTTAAGGAAAGCAACATGTTAGAACTGACATCCCCCTATATTAAAAAAAAAAAAAAGCATCTGCAGGGTTATGTTTTCAATGAAAGGGTAAAGGTAGGCCACACACAAAAAAAATCAGATAAAATAATTCACTTTTCCCAACTTGGGTTCTAATACAGTAAGACCCCAGGGGCAGGCATTTAGCCTGCTGGTCAGCTCCAAGACGGCACTCGGGATGCTCCATCCACATTGGCGTGCTTGGGTTCAAGTTCCAGCTCTGCTTCTGACTCAGCTTCTTGCTGATGCACAGGCGCAGTTAGTTGAGTCTCTGTTACCCGTGTGTGAGACCTGGACTGAGTTTCCAGCTCCCAGCTATGGCCTGGCCCGTATTTTTAAACCTGAAATTCTTACGAGGGTCTATGTCATTGGCCAGGATCCTGGATGCCCCCCTCATCTTGGCAGCAATAGCTGCAGCTCCACATCCACTCCCAAGATCCAGTACAGCTTTGCTTCTGACAACATCGGGGTTATCCAAAATATACCTAGGATGAAAGAGGAAAGCGTATCTTAGATAAACAGCAAAGAGTCAGTAAGAGACATCCAAAAAATAGGGAAAGAAAGTTTTTGAGTTAACAAACAATTAGTGGAACTTAGTGAAAGAACTCAGCCCAACATTGACGGATTGGGCCTGATCTGAGTGACGCGTAAAGTCGATCTTCAGGGCTGGGCATGGGCAGCAGGAGGGAACCTGGCCATTGCTCCTCAGCACCTTGAAGGGGGGTACCACATTGCTAATTATGTTCCCCGCATCAACATCTTCTTAAAAGGGTATTACAAGGTGGGCATTGTGGCACAGGAGGGTGGTCTGCAGCTTGAGGTGCCCACACCTCAAAGCATACACATACACCATCTTCCAGTAATAGAAGAAGACTAGATGGACTAGGCCCTGCCTTTGCTCCAGCAGCTATACATTAATTTTGAAAAGCAGCTCTGAGAACATGCCCTAAGAAGACATGTCAGAGAGCTGGAGACCTTAAAACGCAGATTCAAGAGTCCAGCACAATGGCTCAGTGGCTAAATTCTCGCCTCGCATGTGCCGGGATCCCATATAGGTGTGGGTTCATGACCTAGCTGTTCCACTTCCCATTTAGCTCTGATTGTGGCTGGGAAAGTAGCAGAGAATGTCCCAAAGCCTTGGGATCCTGCACCCATGGAGGAGACCTGGAAGAAGCTCCTGGTTCCTGGCTTCGGATCAGCTCAGCTGCTGCCAGTGTGGTCACTTAGGGAGTGAACCAGTGGACAGAAGATGTTTTTCCGTTTCTCCTTCTGTCTCCTTCACTCCGGGAAAAGCAGTAAAAGATGGCCCGAATGCGTGGGCCCCTGCCACGCAGGTGGGAGAGCTGTGTGGCATTCCAGGCTCCTGGCTTTAATGATGGCCATGTGGGAAGTAAAGCAGCCGACAAAAGGTACACATGTGTGTTTGTGTGTGTATATCTCTTCCCTTTTCTCTGTAAGTCTACCTTTCAAATAAATATTTTTAAATTACTAAATAATAATAATAATAATAATAATAATAATAATAAAAACAGGGGCCAGTGTGATGGCTCAACTGGCCAATCCTAGCTGCCAGCACTGGCATCCCATAGGGGTCCCACTCATGTCCCAGCTTCATGCCTTCCAGCTTCATGCCTTCCAGCTTCCTGCTTAGGGTCTGGGAAAGCAGCGGATGAAGGTCCAAGTCCTTGGGACCCTGCCCCTGCATGGGAGACCTGGAAGAAGCTCTTAGCTCCCTGGTTGGCTCAGCTCTGGCCATCGCAGCCATCCAGGGAGTAAGTCACCAGAAAGATCTTTCTCTGTTGCCTCTGAAAATTTGCCTTTCTATAAAAATAAACACATAAATAGATATGTAAAAAATAAAAAGAATTCCCCCTTTTAAAAAGAAAAAGAAGCTTGTGTGAGAAGGGGGAAAAAAAAAAACCATGGCTGAACTGCTCTAAATACAGTAAGAAGCCTTTGGAGCTTGGGGTTTGGGGCGGGACTATAATTTCATTATTAGGAAATCGCTTCTATGAGTATCAAGTTCTGGTGGTAACCCACACCACGCTGGTCTGCCAGAGGCAATCAATGTCCTCTCAACTTCAACTGAGAAGTTCCTAGCCAAGGCCAAGGCCAACCACTAAGGAGGCATTCCTAGAGGAGAAGACAAATCCTCCACGCAGCTTTAGATCACAGCTTCAGATTACAGACCGGGAGCCCCTGGGCAGGCTTCCCTGATTTCTGAATTCTGAGATACTATATATTTGGTAGGAGCATCAGAAAGCAGTATTGGAGCAGCTGAAAGAAAAATATTCTAATGGCTTTGCAATCAGAGGGCAGTACCGAGCCAGGGCCTGGCCTCCTGGCCAGTAGATCGCCCAGTAGGGGTCAGCATGGGGCCACAGGTCTGCTCTGTCCCACCAGAACTTGCATCTGGGGGTCAAAAGTCGTAACTGGATTTCGGGAGTGAGGCTGCCGCTGCAGGTGACTTCAGTGTTGTCCTCCAGGAACGCCTTCAGCGCCGGGTCCAGAAAGCCACCAGCTGCTCTCTGCGGGAGCAGAGATGGGCGGAAGGGCCGGCTTCCTGCAGCCCTGAGGACACCGCAGCCCAGGAGCAAAGCCATCAGGCCTCTCCCAGAGCTCAGGTTCCGTGGATGTTCTTCACAGCACGAGGACGGATGATGTCTGCCAGCTTGACCTCTAAGAACGAAACAGGGCTGAAGATTTCAAGGCTGACCAACACCTCCAGACCCTAAAACAAAATGCTACCGTGTCAGTTCCGTGTCTGGCAAGGTGCGAATTCGTTTCACAGGGAACATAAGAAAACCCAGTCCCTCAAACACAACAGAATTCTTTTTTGTGATTTAGAGCAATGAAAGTACAGGCATTGAACTCTTATATAAAATAAGGTATAGTTCCACAGCTCTTTGACGTGCTTTGTAACTCAGTTGTCTTTAAGCAGACACGGTGAACAACCACGAACAAGACACAAAACTCCCTGGCTGCATTCTTTTATTGTATTTAGGGGGCAGGGCAATTAACAAAGCAAACACAGGTTTTGCTTTGATGACTGCTGGCGGAGGTGCACACTGACTCCATCATGGCACTGGACGTTGGCAGATCTTAAGACAATGCAATAGAGATTCAGATTGAGAAAAAAACACAGCTATGGATTTTATGGTAACAAAAGGCCATCAACTCCCAAATCTCTTGCTGTCAATATCTTTGATTAAAGGCCTCCACAAAGCCGGGACTCAGAAGACATATCCCAGTGGCAGTGCCTCGACAGCAGTGAGAAGAAATGTGAAATGCACTTTACACAAATACCCACACAGGTGTTTAAGCCCTCAAATCTGTTCTGCATACGCATGCTAATCAGTCTTTGGGGTTTTTTAATTTTCTTTTTCTTTTTTTTTTTTTTACTTGAAAAAGCAGAAGGACAGACACACAGAGAGATGTATTCAGTGGCTCACTCCACCAAGCCCTTCAAAGCCTGAGCTGAGCCAGGCCAAAGCCGACTCTGATGTGCAGTGCAGGGACCCAGGCACCTGCCGCCTCCGAGGATGCACTGGCAGGGTCCACCCCCACTGGGTGTAGCTGCTGACCCACTAAGCCAGACGCCTGCCCCTTAAAGTCTAGGTGCACTCCAAGTATTTAAAATAAGGATTATTAACTTATCGCGGCTCCAGGGGACAGGAGATCCGGGCTGGTTGGAAGCTATCCGGGGCCGGACAAACGGAGGACTCGTTCCTCATTGGCGGGAACTGCCGCCCATCTTCCAGTTTCTCAATCCAGAAATCCAATGATTGGTATTTAAGCTCCCAGTTTCACTCACTGGCGAGTGGCGCGGCGGGCCACAGTCTTCGGGTGGGGATTCGCCCGTCACCCCGCTCCGGGTGTAGAGCTTAAGCCGCAGGTGCTGCCCTTCCTGTCTGCTTACCTGGCTCGGGGTCCCGGGTCCCGGTGCTCCCCGAGTTCGAGTCCCGGCCCGCCCACAATCCCGGCGGCGCTCGCTTTCTCCTCCCCACCTCTCGCACTTGCTTAAAGCGACAGAAGCAGCAACCAGAAGGACCCGCAGCTCCCGCACCACGGAAGGCGAGGTTATGTTTACCAACTTCTGATTTCTAAAATGCATCGTTTTGAAACCGTGCGTGTAACTCTAATTTCTGTGGCTTGTTTTTTGGGGAAGGCTGAGGAGCGAGAGGCAGGTGGGCAGCAGAAGGTCAGCCAGAAACCTAAGTTACTAGGGGCTTCCCTTTCAGGGGCGTCTTCTGTGCCCCCCAACAAGATGTGTACAAAATTGCAGCTTTTAAATCTGCATTTCTCTCTCAGCTACAGGGGACCAGCTGAGTGAATTTTTTCTCATCATTTCAGTAGTGAATTAGGTGGAACCATGTGCAAAAATATAACTTCTGCCATTTTGGTAGTATGCATTTTGTTCTGTATCATTCACATAATATGTACATACCGATGTTTTATGGAAATGTATATAAAGATCAACGTTTTATGAGGCCAGTGCAGTGGCATAGTAAGCTTATCCTTTGCCTGTGGCGCTGGGATTCCATATGGGCACCAGGTCATGTCCCAGATGCCCCACTTCCAGCCCAGCTCCCTGCTTACAGCTTGGGGAAGCCACGGAAGATGGCCCAAGTCTTTGGGACCCTGCACTCACATGAGAGACCCAGAAGAAACTCCTGGCCCCTGGCTTCGGATCAGCTCAGCTCTGGCCATTGCAGCCATGTGGGGAGTGAACCAGTGGATGGAAGACTCTGTCTCCTTTTCCTTTTTCTATTTCCTCTCCCTCTCTCTCCTTCCTTCTGTAAATCTGCCTTTCAAATAGAGAGAGAAATAAACCTTTATTTTTAAAAAAAATCCACATTTTAAAATCTTTACAAATTGCGTTTAAATTTGTAATATATTTCACTGAAATTCCAGCCTAAAATGCAAGCAAACGCGGCCACTGCTCCTAAGCAAATGTGTCTTGCCTGTCATCCCAGTGTTTCTCCGAGACATTTTTTATCTTTAATTTTTTGTTTATCTACTGAGTTTGAAAAGCAGACTGACAGGGAAGCACAAAGACGGAAATACTCCGTCTGCTGGGTCGCCCACACAGGCCTCCCAACTCCCCCCTTCCAAATGGCTGCCAAAGCGGGTCAAGGGCTGGGCCAGAGGCAGCAGCCAGTGCCTTCAGCAAAGTCTCCCGTGTGGACGGCAGGTACTGAACCAGCACCTGCAGCCTCCCAGGGAGCACCCCGGCGGGGAGCCTTAAGCAGAAGCGGGACTGGAGCCCAGGCACTCCCCTGTGGGCTGCAGGAGCCTCCAACAGCTGCTTAATGACTAGCCCATCTCCATGGAAAGAGACGTCTGCTCTCTCCTAGCCCCAGGCCCGCCTATGTGAAAGGTTGATTTTTCTCTCCTCCCTTCCTCATCTTCAGCTCACAGTTCTGTGATCATTGGCCAACTTTTCACCCACCTGCTGGCCCTTTAAACACTGACCGGAAGGAAAGCCCTGCAGTCCCGAACAGATGACGCTATGTTGCCATCTGGTGGTCGTTTGGCGCAACGCCTGGCAAGCCGCCTGAGTGAATGCGATGGGGGCTGAAAATCATCAGAGTCTGGCGAATTGGAGTTAGGATTTATTCAGAAGATGTAACGCCAGAGCAGGCCGCTTCACAAGCTTTTACTTCACTTCAGACTGTTACTTACAGGGTAGGCATGTGCCGTGAGTGAGATTTAACGAGCACATGTATGTTGCAATGAATCACACTCAAAGAAGCATGTTTGTGCAGCAGCTTCAGCCGCAGCTCGGCCATGGCTTCATCCCGTATCAGCGTGCTAATTTAAGCCCCAGCTGCTGGCTCCAGATCCAGCTTCGTGCAAGTGCACCAGGAAGGCACCAGATGGTGGCTCAAGTGCTTCCCGGCTCCCTGCCTGTGGCTGGATGGGAAGTGGAGCAGCCAGGACACGAACCATACCCATACGACATGCCAGCACTTGCAAGCAGAGGATGAGCCAATTGAGCCACTGCACTAGCCCTGTTGGTATCCTTTCTAATAAATCAGGTCTCTGGGTTACGTTCACGTGAGAGTTTCTATGGTTTATCATTGGGCAAAGCTGCTTTGACCTGTTGCGTATAGAACTGGCAGTTCTGCATTAATCCCCCCTCCCTCCATTGCCTTTTGGCAGCGTCTTAGTCCATCTTGGGCTGCTCCAGCAGAATACCACGGACAGGTCAGCTTCCAATGAGCAGGAATGTGTTGGCTTCCAGGCCGGAGGCTCGGAAATCCCAGATCCAAGCATTTAGAGAAGGCCTTTGACTCGTTCCTGTTCCTTCTCTGCAGTTGCGTTGACCTGGGCCCTTGAACACCAAACAGGTCAGAGGGCGTCTCTTCAAGCCTGAAACGTAAGAGCCAAGTTGCTTTGTTACTGTCACAGCCATTGCTTTTCCATTAGGGAAGGCTGCCCCACCAAGTGAGCCAGCATACTGAGCGCACACTCAGTCCAGAGGAAGAAGGCGAGTTCAACCGTTCAGAGAGCGCTAGAGGGCGCGAAGCGCTTGGCTCATATCCGTGTTCCATCTCCGCGATATTCCCAAGATCCCTGGGGTCCCTCTAGTGGGGACCGGGACAAGAGGTGTGACGTCTGGGCTGGGAAGAAATTTCGGACACATGGAATGGAGAGGTGAGATGAACCAATGCATACCTTATTGATTTCCGCTGGGGCAACTTCTACCAATTTTTTTTTTTTTTTTTTTTTTTTTTTTTTTGCAGGGCAAGCACATAGATGAAGGTTACTAGCTAACTATACAAGAGCATGCAAGCTGCTCCAACAATAGATCACAAAGGATTTGGAAGACAATCCCCAGGTCTCAGGCAACAGGGTAAGTAAACACGAGTTACAGGAACAAACACCGGTACACAAACAGATCTAACAGAACTTTGTCCTCGGATCCGGGCAGGCCACAGTCGCTCCGGGAAGAGGGAGGTGAAGGTGAAGCTGCCTCACCCCTCTCGAGGCGCGCTCTGTCAGCAAGGCGACCCGCCATCTCGGCGGGAAGTTTGCAAAAATTCTCAGTGTGCCAAGAACGTTTGCGATTCGGGGGTCCTCGAACTCTTGGTGGTGTGGCTTTTTCAGGGAGCTGACTTCAACACCAAGAGTGTAGTCTGGGCTGGAGGGTCAAGTGCCATGGACATCCTTAAACATCTTGCGGAAGAGTCTCGGCAGGTGCTTCTTAAAGACGGTGGTAAAATCAGAGATTCGGCCGCAAGGCTGCCCTACTGTTAGCCTGTTAGCACTGCGCGTTTATTACCACCGAGGAGCTGGTACATTATTCTTAAGTTCATATGTTATTCATTTGTTGCTTGTTTTTACCCCAATATTCTTTTTCCTTCCCCGAAACACCAGTTTTACATTTAGCTAGTTCTTTCTTAGGATTCTCATAACTGTGTTGATTTCTCGGGCTTTCCCTGCTCTTGATGACCTTGAGCCAGTTTTTTTCTCTTTATAAATTAATTTATTTACTTTGAAAGTCAAGAGTTACAGAAAGAGGGCCAGGTGCGATAGCCTAGCAGCTAAAGTCCTTGCCTTGAAAGTGCCAGGATCCGTATGGATACCAGTTCTAATCCCGGCAGCCCCACTTCCCATCCAGCTCCCTGTTTGTGGCCTGGGAAAGCAGTCGAGGATGGCCCAAAACCTTGGGACCCTGCACCTGTGTGGGAGACCTGGAAGAGGCTCTAGGCTCCTGGCTTCGGGTCGGTGCAGCTCCAGCTGTTTGCAGCCATTGGGTAGTGAATCAATAGATGGAAGATCTTCCTCTCTGTCTCTCCTCCTCTCTGTATATCTGACTATCCGATAAAAATAAATCTTGAAGGAAAAAAAAACTTAAAGAAAGAAAGAGAGAAATTTGCCATTTGCCAGTTCACTCCCCAGAAGGCCTTAACAGCAAGCACTGGGCCAGGCCGACACCAGGAGCCTGGAGCTTCATCTGGGTCTCCCAGGGGTCCAAGTACTAGGTCTGTCTTCTGTGACTTTCCTCCAGTGCATTTGCAGGGAACTGGATAAGAAGTGGAGCCTCCAGGACTCAAACCGGTGTCCCTATGGGATGCATGGCAAGCAGTGGCGTCTGGCCAGCTGTCTTGGAGGATGCACTCTTTGGGAATTTGATGCATGTCTTGTGGTAGCACTGGGGCTGGGGGTTCAGGGAGGCAGATATCGGAGGTAAAGTGCCATTTCCACCCCCTCGTGCCCAAGGGCCATGCCATCAGTATGACTTAGGACTGCTGGTGTCATCCCGGTGACCTGGCTGAGGTGCTGGTGGCCGTACTCCACTGTGGAACTCCGTCCGCCACTCCTCTTGAGGACTGGGCAGTCGGCTCCTCCTACTTGAGGTCGCAGCTCTTCTAGGGCCTTAAGCCTGAGCTCTCCCGGGGGGCCAGCTCACCCCGCAGGTGTCGTTCCAGCTTCCACGTTCATGCGAACCCAGGCCTTATCCAGAGCCATTCCCGCAGGCCCGACACCAGCCAGGCAAGGGCCCTGGTGTGACCTTAACAACCTTGCTTGCCTCTGTAGTCTGCCTTGGGTCACCTTTTCGGGAAGTGCCTGGATGACACAGTGTAGAACAGCAGTGCTGGCACACCTGCCCACTGCCCACTGCACTTCCGCTATCATCGTCACTGTCATCTGGTCAACCGTAGCTTACACCTCTCTCGTATTTACCTGTCTACTGTGTCTCCCCCCGCTGGAATACGGAGGGATCCGTCTCTGCGCCCAGAACTAAGGGCACCCTGTGGCACGCGACAACCATCCAGGAAGTAGCTGTGAAATGAAATGAGTGCGCGGAAAGTA